CCTGACAAGACTATTCTCAAGGTAAGTGGCTCAAAGATGTTGCTTATTCTCCTTGATATTCCCTACTTCCCTTCATTGCCTGCAGACCAATAACTAGGGTTAGGTCTCAGCATAGTCTAAGTGGAGTAATACAGTATCTGACTTATAAGCAAATACCATACACATTGAAAAAATTACAGGACCTATGTTCTGGCAGGAACAGGCATTAACAGGGGTGTGCAGAGCAGGGGTGTGAGAATGTATCAGTCTGGGAGCACTCTCATTATTCAGGGATTAACATCTAAGCAAGGATACATAAAACCATTTTCACATGCTTCTGAGATGGTTCTTTGAATCTTGGATGCAATTATGACCTTCAAAATGAAGTGGAGATGCCAGAACTTCTTGGGAGAATATTGAAGGAGTCAGAAGACTCAGAGGGATTAGCATGTTAGACTGTAGTTATTATGCAAGGCCAGAGACCCTACCAGAAGACTACATTCCCATGGGACATCCAGAGGACACTTTTTTCACTGAGGCAACACGACATGTAAAGGTGAAGAATCCTTAGTGTCAGTAGGGATGGTAGGACTCTGGGTGACAATCAATAGAGGCAAGGGAGATATAATAATTACCACAAAACCAAAGTGGCAACCAGAGCACTTTGACCCATAGGGTCTGTTTATGGCAATGGCTAGTAGACCATAGTGTTCCTAGGAGTTAACTAAGCTGGCAGATGACTGGGTATTACTTGACTGTAACAACAGCAATCCCCAAATCAAGAGCTCATGAGCAGAAGGCAGATGACAGCTGCCATAATGGAAAATAGTATTTCCTCATAAATTTCCTTGATCTAGGCCAGTTCTCAGGCTCAGAGCCTATTGATTTAAGGAAGGGCCAAGTCTTTTTATAGAAGAGCCCTCTAATGCTGCCAAAAGTATACAAGATAACTATTTCCCCAATCTTTCCACATGAGGGATCTGTGGCCTTTTATCAGAGTAACTCTGGCCAGGGGGGAAGAAAAAGAACCAGACTTTCAAAGGCTATTGGGTACAGACTATGAGCTGGCATCAGTGCCGGGGACAAACACTATCATGGTCCCCCAATTAAATTGGAGGTTCATGAAAGCCAGGTAAATGGCATTCTCATGCAAACAGATCCAAGAAGTCTGAAGATCCACTCTGTACTAATTTCCTTATCCCTAAGTAAATAACTGGGACAGATACTCTAGCAACTGGCAGGACCCTAAAATTTACTTCCTGTTTTATTAAGAGCCATAAGGTAGAAAGGGCCAAATGAAAGCCCCTGACACTTAGCCCTACCTTTCTTACTAATTTATTAATTGAGGGGTAAAACCACATCCTGGGTGATATTGCAGAGATTAATTTCAACATCAAAGATTTTCTTCTCAATAGTCTTCAGTCAGAAGGATGAAAAACTGCCTTTATGTGGGAATGATAGCAGTACATATTCACCCTCTTGCTTCTGGGCTGTTAATTCTCCTTCTCTCTGTCACAACGCAGCATCTAGCAACTTTGAGTATCTCAATATTCCATTGAACATCAGAGTAATCCACTGTATTGATGACCTAATGCTAATTTGACCTAGTAAGCAAGAAGAAGCAAGAACTCTTGATGTCCTGGTAAAGACACATGCATGCCAAAGGATAGAAGATAAAAATATGAAGATTCAGGGAATTCATGTAGTTCAAATTTTTTCTTACCTTTTTGTTCTAGAATAAGTTAAATGAATATAAAAGTAGACAAACTAGTAAAACGAACCCCTAAACGAGAACCACTATTCACAGCCCACATTATTTCATCTATATCCCCACTAACTTCTTCTATCCCTATTATTTTTAAACAGATTGGCAAAGTTATTAGGGATCAGTAGCCTGGAGCATACCAGGTTATATCCTCTAAAGTAAAGACAAGTTGTTAAGCTCTGTAACCTCCAACACTAAGGCACAGTGCTTGGTGGAGTATTCCTCTGACCCATCTACTGGGTGCCTTTGAAGGCTCTCAGTTTTGAGTGAAGTCCAGAGGAGGAGAGAGCTGTACAGTGTGTCCAACTATTGTACAAGTTTCTCTACCATTTGGTTCATGTGATCCAGCAGATACAATGGGGCTAGAGGCATACATTATGAATAAGGCCGCAGGCAGAGTCTCTGACATGCCTTAATAAAAGAGTTTCAGCATAGATCTCTTAGGTTCTGGAACAAGGCCATGCAGCAGAGAGTTATTTGACTTTTGAAAAGCAGCTGTTCGGTCCCAATAAAAACCGAGAGCCAAGCAATGGAACATGAAGGGTCTATGAAACCAGAGATACCCATTGTAAGCTGGTGATTGCCAGAGTCTATCAAGTCATAAGACTGGGCAGGCTTAAGCCAAGCATGGTAGCCCACACCTGTAATCCCAATACTTTGGGAGGCTGAGGCCAGAGAATTACTTGCGCCCAGGAGCCCAGAGGCAACAGGGCAAAACCCCATCTCTACAAAATGCGGAAGAAAAAATAAAGTTAGCTGGGCCTGGTGGTGTTTACTTGTAGTCCCAGCAACCTGGGAGGCTGAAGTAGAAGAATCACTTGAGACTAGGGAGGTTGAGGCTGCAGTGAGCTGTGATTGTGCCACTGCACTCCAGCCTGGGTGACAGAGTGAGACCCTGTCTCAGAAAAAAAAAAAAGGCAGACTTATCAGCAGTCCATCATACAATAGGAATGGTAAATTCAGGATCAGGACTAAGCAGGTCAGCAAGGTGCACGTAAGTCATCAAAAGGTGGTGGAGACTCCTATGACACCTACCTCAGCTATCGGCCATACCAATCCTTCTGTCTTAGCTCAGACCGACAGCTTTAGTGGGTAGTTCTCTGTAACCAACTGATAAAAGGGAAAATAGCCCTGACTCACAGATGGATTAGCTTTAGGCATTGATACTAGGAAAAAAAAAAAAAAAAGATTGTTCCTGTAACATAGCTCCATTTAGGGGGTAGCCCTAAAGAACTTTAAAGGGAAATTCCCCCAATGGGCTAAGCTGTAAACAATATACTTGTTCATTCATTTTGTATGGAGGACAAAACAATTCCAGATATAGATTTACATACACCTGTGAGCAAAGGCAAATAGTTGAGTGGTACCTGATCCGCACTCACTTATGTGCAACCTGGAAGTGCAGGCAGTTGACCAATGGAGACAGAACTAGGAAACAAATACCTCCTCATTCTATATGGCTCTTTAGGAGTCCCCAGTGGGATTAAACCTCATAACCCACAGCAATGGGGATTGAGACAAGGCTGAGGTGAGGGAAAAGAGCAAGGCACTTGTGTCTGGTGCAAATTTAAGGAGGCACCAAAAAATCCAGTAACCAAGATTAATTATATTTTAATGCAATATTTTTTAAAATAGGAATTAATGCAAATACCCATGATGAACACAATATCAAAATGTTAAATAAAGAAACAATATTGCTAGTTTTCCCTTTATTCTTAGGCTCCACAGGGCTCCACACAGCACTGTTACTGATCTTGGTCATGCCAATGACCATCTCAATTTCACAGTCTATGTCGGCTTTACCTGCCTCCCTGCTCAGGCTCCTCCCTAGTCCCCTACTTGTGTTTTGTCATCACTACTCAAGATAAACAACCTTATATAAGTTCTTTTCTCCGAGTTTGCTCTATTATTTGGGGTGGAGTAGGCGAGATGAAACCCAAGCTAAGTAAGATAATTACCATAATATATCATTCGAAGAAGGATACTAGTGAAAGTGTAGGGAGGCTCTATTAATAATTTCACTGGATTAATAGACAAAAATCAGAGCTGTCCTAGCACATCAGGATATATAGTCTTATTACAGGTAAGGAAGCTGAGGTTCCAAGGGGGTGGGAAGTCCTCCTAAGAGGAGGAGTCAGACTGAAAGCTACACAAAAAGAGGCAGAAATGTCCCTCTGCCTCTTAATCGGGACCTGGAGACTCAAACACACTTACGCAAAATCTCCAAAGAGGGTGAGCTCTTCATCCTGTCAATTTCATCTGCCTCGTGAACCCCAAGGCTCAAGTCTCCAGCACCAGGCTAGCTTACACAACAGGAGAGGGGCCTTAGGTCTGGGCACTGAGCCAAAAAAAGGGAGGCTGTGGTCCCTGCTTTGGTTACCCTGCTGGGTCTGAGCGCCAAATCCTATCTCCTCCTCCTTTCTCCCTCCCTCTTTTCCTCTCTTTGTTCCGGGACTGGGGGCAGGACCCTAGGCAAACAGAAAGCCTTCCAGTCTGAGAAAGCTCTAGCAGCCTGCCGGGTTAAAGGGCCCTGGGGGCGTGAGGAGTGCAATGGGCTCAAAATCAGAAGCCATCGTGGTGACAATGCCTCCATGAGTGTGCTTCCGCAATGGGCAGGCTCCTTGTCCAGGCGCCCACCCGCCCATGGACCCGGCGGGGGATTCCTGGCTGGGCCCAGCCATTCCGCTGGCGTGCGGGGGGTAGGAAACTCGCCTCCCGGGCAATCGGTTGTCCCCTGCCCCCGCCACTCCCTCCAGTCCGGGCCCATCTCTGACGTAGTGTGACCTTGTTCTTCCCTTCCAGGCTGTGGGCCTTTTTTCCCTGTGCAAGGTGAGGCTCCTGGCTGTCCCGAGGACGCTGTCCGGGCGCCGCGGGGGACTCACCGAATTGAGCCCTCCTAAGCCTAGTGGGCAATGAGTTCCCTGTCGGCGAATGCCAGCCGCCTGCGCGGGGCGCCCCAGGAGAGGGCGGGTTCCTGTCGCTCCGCCGCCCGCAGAAATTTCCCAGGAACCGACTCCGCTGACTCGCCCGTCCGCACTCTGCGCGTGGCCGCCTAAGCTCAGACTCCAGACGGGAAGAGACCGCAGAAGGAAAGCTGCCGGGGACTGGGCCCGGGGCGACGCGGCCCGAGCAGGTCGAGGACCGACGTCTCCAAGACCTTGCTCTCCAGCCTCCGCTACTCCCTCTAGCCAGCCCTCCCACGTGGTATCCAGGTCTGGGAATCAGAGCTCAGGGATGGCTGGGGACAACCGAGCTTTCTGTAGGCAAGCTTCCTCCCCCGCACGCGGGCGGAATGGCTGAGCCGGGCCTGGAAGCCCCCGCCGGGTCCTTGGGGACTTGCGGGCGCGCCGAACACAGGGCGGAGACAGTCGGGTGCCCCGCCCCAGCGGACTGGGCCGCCCTCCCTTTCCCCGCGCAGGGCCAGGGATGGGGGTGTGGTCCCAAGTGTACAGGGGCATCAAGCTCTGCGCGGAGCTCCCGGGAACGCTCGAAAGCCCTCAACCTGTTTCCCAGAACCGGTCCCGGGCCGCGCGCCCCGATTTCCAACAGCCTGCCTGTCCCCCAGGAACGTTCTGACATCCCTGGGGAGTGCCCAGGCCACGAGACAGCGTCCCGAGGACGCTCTCATCACGCGTAGTTGCAAGTTTCGGAGCGGCAGTGAGAAGCATGCGGGACTACGACGAGGTGACCGCCTTCCTGGGCGACTGGGGACCCTTCCAGCGCCTCATCTTCTTCCTGCTCAGCGCCAGCATCATCCCCAACGGCTTCAATGGTATGTCAGTCGTGTTCCTGGCGGGGACCCCGGAGCACCGCTGCCGAGTGCCGGACGCAGCGAACCTGAGCAGCGCCTGGCGCAACCACAGTGTCCCGCTGCGGCTGCGGGACGGCCGCGAGGTGCCCCACAGCTGCCGCCGCTACCGGCTCGCCACCATCGCCAACTTCTCCGCGCTCGGGCTGGAGCCGGGGCGCGACGTGGACCTGGGGCAGCTGGAGCAGGAGAGCTGCCTGGATGGCTGGGAGTTCAGCCAGGACGTCTACTTGTCCACCGTCGTGACCGAGGTGGGTGCCAGGCCGAGACCGGGGACCCGGGAGTGCCTGACCCTCCCTCTGTGTCAGCTCCCCTTGAGACTCCCTGCGCACTGCCAGGGTCAGCGCTCCGCTTCCCGTCAAACCTGCTGTTCATACTTCCAGCAGCGGGTGTGCACCCCAAGAGAGAATAGGACTCACTCGAGGTGCACTCCTGGGTCCTTTCCGTCCAGTAAGGAGGTGATGGAGAAGGGAGTTTGTCACCAACTGTCTTTTCGTTTCCGATTTTCACAACAAATGAAGTTCCCCAAGAGCCTAGATGCTGCCTTGGGGGAAGCGCAGCCCCAGGCTACCCAGACGCACTGCCTGAGTCACCTTCCTGCCAGGCAAGGGAGGAGGGGTATGAAGGACCTTGTTACTGAACAGGGCAGAACCAAATCTTGTCTGTTCCCTGGCCACAGACTTCCGGAGGCAACAGGAGGTGTACTGCTGTACCACATACTTGTGGTGAGGTTTGGGGTCTTGTCCTGAGGTCCCAGTTTCTCTAAAAGACAGCAGATGGCCTCCTCATGCTCTTTGAGTGCAAGGAAGCAGAGAAGGGGAAACCCTGGCTGGAAGCCCTGGCACTCAGGGACCTCTCTGAGCACAGGGTCAGTTGGTAGGCAGGAGCTGCAGCCCCTCAGCACCCTGTGTGGTTAATGGTAGGTTTTCTAAGTTCCAGGAATCAGGATGCACACAGGCTTCTCCCCTTTTTTTCCTGCTTCACATCTGGTAAGGACCAGGGGCTGCTGGGTCAGGACACACCTTCCTTCTGAAGAGAGCATCCTCATGGAGCCATTGCCTGCTCTTGGTCAGGCAGGTAGGATTTCCCTGCTGCTAGTCCCTCCTCTACCTTGTGCTGCTCCCAAGAAAAACCTGAGTGGCCCCTGCTAGTCCCTTATCCCTTTCCCTCAGCACAGTATAGCAGTCATCAGACATTGTGTCTGACCTTGTGCTGGGCACCAGGGTGTGGATATCTGGGTGTGAAGCCTGCCTTCAGATGCCCATTGGGGACACTGACTGTGTTACTGAGAAGGCTAACAGTAACTCTGGTTAGGAGTAGGGTTCTGGAACCCAAATTCAAATCCTGCCTTGCTTGCTTTGCAACCTGGGATAAATAAATCACCCTCTCTGTGGGACAGTAAGTGGAGAAAATACTCCAAGAAGGGATGATACAATTTTTGGTGAGTCTGAAAATATGAGCTAAGACCTGTCTAGGAAAGAACATGGGAGATTTAGGGAATGGAATTCTCATACATCAGAGTGGCTGGAACTCAAGGGATGAGAGATATGACAGATGAGACTAGAAATGCCCACAGGGGCCAGAGTTGACTTTATTCAGAGGACAGTGAGGAAATAGTAAGCATTCTAAGGCCAGGTTCGTGCTTTTGGAAAGAGCTCACTCTAGCTGTTATGACAAACAAGAAGACCAGTGAGGAAGCTGTGAAAGTCTCCTCTGCAAGAGAATGGTGGCCAGCCAGGTGTGGTGGCTGTGTAATCTGTGGCACCTGTGGGAAATGGGCTTAGCCTGTGGACTGCCTCTGGATCCCCCAGCATTGGCACCATACCTACTCTGGGCCCTAAGGTGGCCATGCTTCTCTGGCTTTGCTTCCCTAGCAGGAGCTCTAGTGCTTGCCCACTCCCTGCCCACAGCATGTCCTGGGAACAGCTAAGACTGGGTGCCAGCTCATCCCATGTTGATTTCTGGAAGTGTTAGCAGTGCCTGATACGGAAGCTGGACCGATGAGCAGCAGCCTTCCCTGACAGCTGGGCTGACCTGTCTGCTTTCCCTTTGTTCACTGGTTTTGTTTACCGTAGGGTATGAGGGGTGGGTAGCTGCTGGCCTCCAAGTCCATAGCTACCCATGTTGTGCCCTGTTCACAGGGACCTATAGGGATGTACATCATCACATATTCACACGCATACACCAGGATTTACTTTTTTCAGCAGCTTTTCCCTTCCTGGCTTCCTTTTTGAGTGGTGGGAGTAAAATAAAAAGCAACCAGAGGACAGGTGCAGCCACTCATGCTTGTAATCCCAGCACTTTGGGAGGCCAAGATGGGTGGATTACTTGAGGTCAGGAGTTCAAAACCAGCCTGGCCAACATGGTGAAACCCTGTCTCTACTAAGAATTCAAAAATTAGCTGGGAGTGGTGGCGCATCCCTGTAGTACCACCTACTCAGGAGGCTGAGGCAGGAGAATTGCTTGAACCAGGGAGGTGGAGGTTGCAGTCAATTAAGATCATGCCACTGTACTCCAGCCTGGGCGACAGAGGCCAGACTGTCTCAAAAAAAGAAAAAAAAAAGAAAAAAAAAAGCAACTGGGCCCTGGAAGTTGGGAGAAGGAGGGAAGGAAGCAAGTACCAGGGTGAGCAGGATGGAGGATGGATGGATGGCTCTCCCCAGAGGAGTGGTGGCACACGGAGTTCTGGAGTCAGACTCACTAGAGGGCCAGTTTTGACTCCACTGCCAATCATCTGGCTGGCTGACTCCAGACAGGTTACATCACTGATGAAAGCCTCAGTTTTCTTGTCAATAAACTGGGGATACAAGCATATGAAAAGAGGCTCAACATCACTAATCACTAGGGAAATGCAAATGAAAACCATAATGAGGTACCACTTTGTACCCTTAAAAATAGCTACTACCAAAAAAAAAAAAAAAACAAACACCAGAAATCCACTTTAGGATGCAGAGGCAGGAGGTTTGCTTGAGGCTAGGATTCAAGACAGGCCTGGGCAACATAGCAAGACCCCATCTCTCCAATAAATAAAAATAAAAATTAGCTGGGCATGAAGGCATGCGACTATAGTTCCAGGTTATCAGAAGGCTCTGGCAGGAGGATCACCTGAGCTAGGAGTTCGAGGTTGCAGTGACCTATCACCATACCTCTGCACTCCAGCCTGGTGACAGGGCGAGACCCTGCCTTTAAAAAAAGTGTGTTGTTTTTTAACACAGAAAATAACAAGTGTTAGTGAGGATGTAGAGACACTGGAACCCTTGTTCATTCCTAGTGGGAGTGTAAAATGGCACAGCCACTATGGAAAATAGTATGGTGGTGCCTAAAAATAGAATTACCATATGATCCGGCAATACCAATTCTGGATATATATCCAAAACCACTGAAACAGGGTCTCAAAGAGATATTTGTACACCATTTCCATGGTAGCATTGTTCACAATAGTCAAAAGGTGAAAGCAACCCAAGTCGGTCCACAGACAATGGATAAACATAATGCGGTATGTGTGTACAATGGATAATTAATTATTCAGCTTTAAAAAGGAAGGAAATTCTGACACATGCTACACATGGATGAACCTTGAGGAGACTATGCTTAGTGAAATAAGCCAGTCACAAGACAAATTATTTTCTGATTTCACTTAAAGAGTAGTCACACTCATAGAAACAGAGAGCAAATGGTGGTTGCCAGGGACTGGAAGAAGGAAGGCGTAGGGAGTTGTTGTTTCATGGGTATAGAGTTTCAGTTTTGTAAGATGAAAATAGTGTTGGAGATTGCACAACAGTGTGAATGCTACTGAACTGTACACTTAAAAATGGCTAACATATTAAACTGTATATTATGGGTACTTCCTCTTAGTTTTCAAAAAGGATAATAAGAGAAACCACCTTATGTGAGTTGTTGGGAGGACTCAGTGAGCTAATGCCCTAGGCCCCATCCCATGGTGGCCAGCAGAGTGTGGCACCAGCAAATAGGCTTCCTAGGTGGGTGGTGAGGAGTGATAAGGACAGGACCTCAGCACCCTCTTTGCCTTCTCCACTGGCTGGGCACAGTGGGCATGGTGGGAGCTGTCCTAAAGTCCAGGTTGTGGTGTGTAAAATAGGTGACAGGACTTGCTAGAGGCTGAGTCCCTCTCCCCACAGTGTTAGTTCCAAGGCTCAGAGACCTGGACACAGGTCCAAACCCATGCTGACTTGGCCAGTGTCAGTGGAGAAGGCCACGCCCAGGGCCCCTGAGCATGTTTTCTGCATCCCAGTTGGCACAACACAGGTAGTGGAATCGTCCTCATATTGTGTCTCTGCCTTACACCACCATGCCAGGATCTCCCAGTGAGCATATCCTAGGGGACAGACAAGACTGCCTGAACTACCCCCCACCCCCAACACCTCTTCACAGGATGACAGGGTTAGTCAAGAACCAAGGATGGCATGCTCTGGTGTAGAAATGCCTTTCATAGTATGCAGGAGATAGCAATAAGGTGTCTGACTTGGAGTTTGCATAAGTGCATTCGTCTGTGTGTATGCATGTGTATAAGGTAGTTTCCTTCTTCAGGGGTTATTGTGAAGTCCAAGTTATTCATCCTGTGCAATTACTAAGAGTCAAAATATTTTTTTTTTTTGAGATGGAGTTTCATTGTTGCCCAGGGTGGAGTACAATGGGCACCGTCTCGGCTCACTGCAACCTCCACCCCCCGGGTTCGAGCAATTCTCCCTACTCCTAACACTGTGGGGAAAGGGACTCAGCCTCCAGCAAGTCCTATCACCTATTTTACAGGCTACAACTTGGACTTTAGGACAGCTCCCACCATGCCCACTGTGCCCAGCTAGTGGAGAAGGCAAAGAGGGGGCTGAGATCCTGTCCTTACTACCCACCTAGGAAGCCTATTTGCTGGTGCCACACTCTGCTGTCTCCCAAGTAGCTGGGATTACAGGCATCTGCCACCATGCCCAACTAATGTGTGTGTGTGTGTGTGTGTGTGTGTGTGGCCAGGTTGATCTTGATCTCCTTATCTCAGGTGATCCACCCGCCTCGGCCTCCCAGAGTGCTGGGATTACAGGCATGAGCCGCCGTGCCCAGCCATTATTTTTTAACTTTATTTTGAAATAACTTTTGATGTAGAGAGAAGTTTCAAAATAGTACAGAGATTTCACATATACCCTTCAACCAGCTTTCTCTGATGTTAACAATTTAAATACCCATTATGCATTTATCCAAACCAGGAAATTAACGTTGGTTACAATAGTAATAACCGAAC